CAGAGCTGTCAAGTTGCCACCTTTCACCAGCCTGAAATTCAAGAGTGTTTTTTTTAAAAATGTAAACAACGTGAGCTGCTAAGCTGGCCTGATGGCTGGTTCCAGCTCCACTCTCACTCAGAGGGATTGCTGACTCTCTCGGTACACAGAACCGTGAGTAAATATTGATTCAAACACGGACAGCTCATGGGCAAAAGCACACGGCTGCATGCAGCTCAAATAAACAGGCTGGCAAAAGCGCCTGCTGCCAGGGCTCCCCAGTCCCTCCTGCAGCAGCCCGAGGGCAGCCCGGGCTGTGAGCACAGCTCCGGGTGAGCTCCAGCCAGTGATTTCACTGAGCTCTGAATCCACAGGGATTATACCCAAGATAAAGCAGCGTGCAGCACAAACATACAGCTGGAAGAAATCCCACTTTGCCAATTCTGCTGGTCAGAGGCCGTTCCCAGGCTTACTCTCAGCTACAGCAAAGGGACGACTGGTTCCCTTACTTGCAACTCTCCGAAGGACGAGTGTGGGATACAACTTATTGCAGGCTAAATAACCTTCCCTGCCCTCGAGGCTCGCTCATTTTATTTATGGGAAAATATGCTCGTTAATGCTCTTATCACAGGAATGATCTAATCGGGGGGGAAAAAGTCTCCTTTGAATATATCCATTTTAATGAGCTGCTGGGCGAAATGTTTAGGCAGGCAAAACTGACTCTGAACTCGTTTCTGACAGAGCAGATTCTGCACAGGTCTTAACGCTCATCCTGCTGGCATCTGTTTGTTTTGATAACATTTCCAAACGAAATTACGAGTTACAAAAGCTGAGCTTTACTGTGCACTTCCTCATCCCTAAGGTCGACTGATCCAAGCACAATAGGAACTGAAGGAAAATAAGCCACGCCGTCCAGCTCGCCTTCCCGACGCAGAGGCTATGAAAGCGGCCTGTCCTGTAAAGAAACGTGAGATGGTGCTGAACGCTTCTGGGAGAAAAAAGGGAAGCTAAGCACAAAATAAACGAATAAATCCACCACACAGAGGGTCCTCCAGCAAACAAGCGAGGGAAAGGGGTCAGCAGAGAAAGAAAGTGTTCACGAAAGAATTCCAGAAAGCCGAAATGCTGATGACATGTGATGGCAGGGGGGCTCATTTTCTCAGGACCCGGCTCTGCGAGGTGCTGTGCACCCCACCGCCCTCTCCCCTGCCAATGGGAAGGAAAGCGCTCGATCTCCTCTCCGAGTCGAACTCCCCTCCGTGGCATTGCAGCCTTGGCAAGTCTCGTTAACTTGGGGAGGGGGAGCGGAGGGAGAGGAGGGGATGGAGACGTGAGCTGCATCTGGCCCAACGTAAACGAAACAGAAAATAGATTGTGGAAGGGAGGATGTTGCAATGTATTCCACTTTATTGTTTCGTAACTGCCTCTGAATTCCTCATGACCATTTGTTCATAACTGGCAGCAACACCCGGAGAAAAATCAATACAAAAAAAACCCCAAACCAAAAACAAGCTTGTGGGACATTATTCTTAAATTACAGAACTGTAACGACAAACTGCTCAAGCATGCTTCTTTCCCCTGAAATGTTCAGGTGCCATCCTCTGACCGTGCCTCGTGTCTCTTGCTGTTGGCTAACCCACTCGCTAGCTGACTGTATTTCCTGTTCTCACTTCAAACTTCTCCCCTCACCCCCACATTATTTTTATATGGAAACTGAACTGCAATGCCTGGTTTGATCCTGCAAACTTAAAGAAAACAACTCAGCACTTATCGGGTGACCAGCACTACTTAGGCTACACCCTTAAATCAGATAACGAGACTTTAAAGCATTTTAAGCATGTTTACCTCATCTGCATTCAATAAATAGTCCTCTTCATACCAGTTGTTTTTAAGTGAGAAAGCAGAGATCCAAAGTTTCCTTGGTAAGAAGTACAGACATTCGTTGGCCTGACGAACTAGTGACTGCTTCCTTCTAGTTCAGTATCTCACAAAGATCTTGGAAAATAAATTCTTCCCTGTGCTGGTAAACATCTAAGAATTCCGGCTTAACTTGGCAGTGGCATGCAGAATCTCCTTCCAGCACAAGTGGGTCTGCAGAAAACCTGACCTTCAAATCAAATCGTTCTCGCACGGATGACAATGAAAACCAGGAGAGTTTTCCAGCTAGAAAAAGTGTTCTAATTACATGTCCCACTAAGATCAGAATAGATTCTAACACACCAAATAGCGTCTTTAGTGGGGGAGTACTTAAAATTAGATAACTGGTAGTTAACTGTTACCTGTAAGGAAATGAACCAGAAGCTCTAAGGAAGGAGGTCGGTAGATGGTAAGAGCCCTGCTTTATAAGGCTTATCAACTACAGGTCTTATAAAATTTAGAAATAACACTGTCCAATGTTTTGATAAAGACCTCACCAGCTTTTGTTGTACTTTGTCTCCACACAGAGCTGACCAAGATGAAAATTTAAATTATTCTGGGACTAAAACCGGCTAAATTACAGGGTGGAAAAGTCATCACACACAATGATTTCTCTGAAAACACGTCATGATGGACAACTCTGCCTCAGTTTCTGTCCTGTTTTGGTGCTTGGCTACATCTCTAGATGGCTCTTAAAACTGTAAAAACAAGTAGAGTCTTCCTGGAGTGGAAATAGAGAGAAAAGGCAATCAGAACAACTTGATTTTATAGTCTGGCTCACTTATTTTTTCTTTTTTTACCATTTTTGGGAAGTTACTAAGTGTGTAATGCTATGTAAGGACTGCACACACTTTAAAACAGAGCTCGTGTTTTCCTTTCTCTTGTACTTCCCTGGTCAGCAAATCAGAGCCAGATTAATTCCCATGCTGCTGCTAAATGTCATAAGCATCTATTGCCACATTCAAGAAGAGCTACGACAGCATGTTGCAGCTAAGCAGAAAATACACATGGAGTTCTGCTACATGTCAAGTATCAGCTTTTTTCCATTCACCTTCCCTGGATCTTTGTTACTTCTCTCGAACGCGGACGCAGGAGCTGCTTCAACGAAGCCTGCAGCAGCCCACTCTCCAATAGCCTCCCCAGTGGAAAAAACCCACACAGAAGCACTAATATTTGCAGCCGTGTTATTTAGCCATGTTTTAACCACCTAAACAACAGAACAGTTTATCTTTCCTTCTCAAAATAAAAGATGTGATACGACTACGGTAGCAACGTGCAGGATTTCAGAACCGGCAAGTCTTTATGAGCGTTTCAGGTCCTGTACATCTTTCTAAGCACCAAGTTTCGTGTCATCTGATCACAATCACTTGCAAGCCTGAAAATAGACAATGAAGAGGAAGACATTCAGCTACCCTGCCCATTTCTTGCTCTAAGATCTGTTTACATCAGCTACCAGTTTTGAATTTGACTTCAGCTTATTCCTGCACTGCCATAAACTCTTCTTCCAACCCAGTATCTTTCAGAAAGTAAAAACTATAAAAGCTTGACTAAGAATCATTAACCAGTGATTTTGACTAATGTTTGAGACCTCTTCTGTTAAAAAGAGGCTGAAAAGCATGCTGAAACAAGCTAAAAATGGAAATTCTAGAAAATGTAACTCTTTGGCTTTCCTCAACCTGAAACAATTTCAACTTCAATTCCTAGCGTGGAGTTCAGTTGTGTTGCTTCTGCTGTACTTCTTCCGTTATCAGGCCTGGTTATTGAGTAACTCAGATTGTAGAAGATATTTCCCCAGGTCATTTCGTACAGCCTAATTGCTACGACCTGCTTGTGTAAGAACACGGAACAACCGGGACTCTCTGCATGCTCTCCTCTGAGGAGTTCAACAAGCAGCTCAGGAGAGAACTGCTGTAAGCTCCCTGCTGCATCCCCTGCTTTGGGGACTACGCCAGTCCTTTGGAACGTGCATTTTTTGGAGATGTGGTAGTTGGGAGGCAGTGGAACGAGGGGGCCTTTGATAATGTCTTTGCAGACACCAGATTTGGGATGAACTACAGCCTCGGGACTTCGATGGATGAGATTCTCCATTTGCACTTGTCCAGATTGCCTCTGTGTTGAAAGCTACTGCACCACAGCAGATGTGGGCGAGGGGGACTGGCTGCCCACACATCGGCTGCTCGGGTTCACTGCCCAGCATATTAGATAATACCAGGGACTGAGATGGGTTTGGACTACGGTGCCAAACGAGGCATGCACCCAGAGCAACTGCGACACCAACTTCTGCTCACCCCGCTGCTGTGGGTAGGGGAATCATGGCAAAGCAGTGGTAAAAAACCAGCTGAAGATGGCAACATCTCAAACTGCCTCAGCTGGTAATCCTGAAATTGTGAGTCAGAGGCTTCTCTGTAAGGGTTTATGAATCACTGTCACGGCTAAACTGGAAGTCAGGCTATCTCAGCAAAAACTGCAGCTGGAACTAATCCCACGCGATATTTCACGTACAAAACCAAAACAGGTTGATGGGGCTTTTTGCAGATTACAGAGCACCACAGCGTTATCCGGGTCACTCAAGTGTAAAATGGAATGACGGCCCTTTGAGATGACAGGTATCCAAAGGGCAAAGCTGTTTCCAGTGCCACAGCAAAGAGGAAAACAGCTGCAAAGATGATGTCCTCTGACACAATGCCATTATAAGGAATTACAGTTGGATCACCACAAAAATAATAAATGCCATCATTAGAAATAATGAAACCCATCACAAAATGCTAAGGCAGTCCTTCCATTGACTCACACATTCATTCCCCCATCAGGAAAACCTTTTTAGAAAGGTTGTTTTAGAACAATATACAAAGCGTGAATTGCCAAATCTTCTCTGATGTACTTCATTTCCCCGGATATTCCTGAATTGCAGTGATCCCATTGTTTCAAGGCGGTCTCTGGGTAATGCATTAAATGGCAGTCAGCTTCCCCTCCATAAATCACCAAGCCAAATCGAGAGAGCCGGGTGAGAGCAAGCGCTGATCTCTCCGTTACGTTGTGTGCTGGGAGCTGAGCGCAAATACCTGCGGCAGGAAAAGGATTTTTCTCTTGTACCTCTTACTTACCATGACTCCCAGACTAGTCCCTGGCTGCTGGCCAGGCTAGGCTTCTCATCTAAGCTGCGGGAGAACAGGCGGTTTTCTTTTGGCAATACACTTTGTTCCATCAGAGTCAATCAGAGCAGTTTGAGGACACAGAAGGTGGGTGGGGATTTAGACACTTATCCTTGTGCAAAGTGGAACCAATCAATGGAATATCCATGTGCTCAGAGCTCCTGGATGGGAATATTTTAAAGCAAATAAAAATAAGCAAGATAGTAAAAAAAAAAAAAAGAAAAAAAGTAAAGCCCAAATGCAGCTATAGTACCTAAAGGCAATAAAATAGGCGTGTCGTAGCTCGAGTTGAATGAAGAAAAAAAAAATACAGCCATCTACAATTTATTTTTCTTCTTTTTAGAAAACCATGTTTTTGAAAATCATCACAATGTATCTCTAGGAGTTTTCTTTGGCTCTACAAACACCTTTTTTCCACTTAATTTAAAAGGCATACCTGACTGCAAACTAGACTCAGCATAATTTAAACCCTTATTTTGAGCTTTCTTTCCATGCTGGGTGAGATCCACTATTTAGGATGTGCCCCGACTTCTGTGATGTGCTTCTGACTTGGTTTTCACAAGAGGGATGGTCGAAATGTTCACAAATGGCTGAGTCAAAGATCTCCTGTCATGGAAATGATAACCTATTTACCTTTTGTACACATTTGCTGCTTTTTCAGATGAATTTTGAAGATTGCCCCCCTGCAATCTTTCATTAATATTGCCCAAAGGAGAAGTGGTGTGTCCGATTTTCAAGTCCCCATCCTTTCCTCCAGACCTTGTTTTTGCCATGGGGCTACAGAAAGCCCCAACCGTGTCCCCAGGCCTCGGATTTCCAAAATCCTTGCAGGAGATGAAGAGCAGAGCGCTAGGCCGTCAGGGGAGCGGTACGGGCTGTTTGTCATGGGGGTGGGGATGCAGACCAGGTTCTGCTATGTAAATAACTTATCCACTTCCTCGTGAAGGCGCAGCACGAAGCCTTCTTCCGTTTAAAAGATCACCACCAACCAGTCCCCATTCCCCAGGCAACCGAAGCTGTAAGTTATCGCACCGGCCTACACACCCCGCAGGCCGAGGGAAACCGGGAGATGCTGCACTTGGAGGCGGGAGCACGGCCACAGCCCGCGACGCGCACCCCAAAACCGGGTGACAGCTTCAGCCCGCCCTTCTGGGGGCCCTCCCCAGCACCTGGGGGATTTTCTTATTATGTTTTTCGTTAAACTTTCTCTCAGCATCGAGCCGACGAACGCTCTGCGCGACAGATCGGAGGGCAGCGACTCCCCCTCCGCGCCCGCTGCTCCCCACAGGAGGCCCCGCTGCTCCCCGGGGCCGTGTGGACACCCCGACCGTC